TATATATATAGGATTTGATAGAGCAATGAAACAACATAGTTGGTCACATGTTGGATTTATTTTCTTCTCAATTGTATCCTTGATATTTCATTTCATTTGTTCTGGATGATCTTTTTGGTATTATGTTGTAAGTGTGTTTTATTTCCTTTACTTTCTTAATGCTCCAGCTATTCATTGGAATTGCTAGGTATATTTTGCAAAACTATGTTCCTTCAGTATTTAGATAACCTATATTGTTTACGAGTTAAATTACAGTTGACCATGATTCAAATTTTGTCATATTCTCATTTAACACAAATTTTTACTCATATTTTACCTGAATAATGACAATGAAGATATTTTAACTAGATGCAGTTAAGGTTGAATTACTAATCAATTTCCTAACTTTCTATGAAGGGTTACAAATGTGTTTGGCTGTGCTAATCAGGTGAATCTGGCAAGACCTGCAAATCGAAAAATACCACCAAAACATCATAAAGAACTCTGGTACAGTGGTAAGTCTAAGGTATTGACTAAATGACTGAATGTTTAATTTTGTGCTCGCCCATTTCTGCTTGCACTGATGAAGTGATGTCGTCACCACTCTAAAAAGAGGCTATTTGTATTATGTATATAGGGACCGGGTGTTTGTTTCTTGCATATCTTTCAATATGGTGCCAAGTATCTATATGTTTGCATTTGCAGGAAATGTTGGAAAAAGGGCAAAAAATGTGACTTTTATTTATGTGAATGATGCAAGCTCTCTATCAAAAGAGATCAAGAAAGTAGAAAAGACAAGGATAGTTAAGAGCACTCTCAGTAATGATTGAAGTTCCAGAAGTCATTGCATGGTGATTTGTATGATGAGTTGGTTATAAGTCTTTTAGGATGTGATCTAACATGTTATATGTCCGTACTTTCGTAGATAATTCTTGATGTCCCAACAGTTGGAGGGCGGCTTGTGCTTGTTGACATGGCAAGTTATGAAAATATAGAACAAGCTAGACAAAATGGTTTTGAAGCAAAGATGCAGGTAATTATGCTTTACTCAACTTCTTAACCATAGTTTTTATGCTTCATTTTGTCCTTTTTACCAAGTTCTTAACCATATTTATGAAATGATATAAACATTTTAGCTGGAAGCAGTGAAGCTCTTGGTACTTATGAATATAATAAGGTACAACAACATAATGTGAAATTTCTTCTATAGTTTCATACTGTAAAGAGTCCCAAATTAACAAGAAAAAATAAGAAAGAGCATATGGGTTTTAGACTAACTAATTGATTGGATTCAGTCTTTTGATTTGGCCCATGTGCATTATAGCTAGAGGGGATAGACTAGCTAATTGATTGGATTTAGTCTGGTTTATTTTGAGAGTCATGATGTTTTCAATCACATATATTTATTTTCATAATGCTTACATGTTGTTCTTAATACCTTGCCAGTGCATGCTTTTAAAATATAAGTCATGTTTGGCTTTTCCTTTCTTTAAATAAAATCTTTTCCACATGTAGGATGGTATGCGAGTGAAATGATATCGAGGAATGGGATCATTAGATGCAATGACTAAAGGAAGTGATGCAAGATATCAGCCCATCAGCATTTGACATCAGGTGCAACAAGAATAGATGTTGGTTTGTGTATCTTTGATTGCTATGTTAGGTTGCAAACTTGTGTTGTTTTGAAAGAGCTTGTATTTCCAGTATTACTGTAACTTAATGAAGATTTTTTGCTCCGTTTATATAGGTTCGGACTGGAGCAGCACAAACTGAAGGTGGAGTTCAAGAGGGCGGAGTTCATGGACTGGTTTCTTATGAAAAGGGGAAATACTTCTGAAACTGCTCGTGTAGTCCATGAACTGCTTGTGTTTGATAGATTTAACAATGGTGTAGACCTTCACATTTCACTAATAAGTTATTCAATGTTCTTTGAACAATGTAGTGGTTAAATTATTTGGTTTAAACAGGAATTAAACAGACTATGTTTTTGAACTCTTTTAGTATTTTTAATTTACTTGAAATGAAATCAAATTTTGTAACATTTGACCATCTCTTCACAAAAGGTTAACATATGATTTTCGTTTGCCTGTAATATATAGCCTTTTGGTGCACATTGTGGATGAAAATAAGTATGAGTTAGTATTGGATTATTACCAAGAGCTGATTTCTTATCTACTCAGTAAAATTTTTACATCCAGACAGAAAATCCCAAAAGTTTGGAGGCTGTTAGTGTAAAATCAACTCATGATCCTAACATCCAAGGGTGAATTTATAGTGGAGGTAGATGGTCCCCTTCCCCACCCCCACCCCATATACATCCCATATATAGTCCTTGTAAATATACATGTATATATAGTACATATTTAGAGTATTACTACAAGAATATAGATAATCTCATTCTAATCAAATGCAAGAGTTCTCTAATAATTAATCTCATTCTCAAAATAAAATAGAGGGATATAAAAACATAAAAATAAAAAAAAAAAATTTGAGGAATCACTTGTGTATGTTTCTCATTCATAGCATTTGTTGGTTTTATGACTTCTGGGCAGTCAACGGCAGGCCAACACTACCGTTAGAGTAACGAGAATATAGGAGAAATATATGGTGAAAATATAGGAATGTTTTATTGATGAGTATTGCTCATGAATTGCTAAGAGTTATCCCCTTCTCCTCTATGTGAGTGGTCTATTTATACATATTTTGGGCCTAGAGCCCTACAAGGAATAAGAATTCTAGACTGCCTCATATTGGGAGTCTTAGTTACATAATGAGACCTAGTTCTATTATACTATAAATAATGAGTCCAATTGTAATTATATTAGTAGTAACAGATCCAATCTTTGACAAACTCTTGGGTTGCTCTGTGTCATGTGTCTTTCTTGGGCTTCCTTGATCCAGTTGCTTTCTTAGGCCGGTCCGAGTGGCCCTGGCCTAGTATTACTATCCATCATCCAGTCCTCCACTTTCACTCTTGGGTTGCTCTGTGTCATGTGTCTTTCTTGGGCTTCCTTGATCCAGTTGCTTTCTTGGGCCGGTCCGAGTGGCCCTAGCCTAGTATTACTATCCATCATCCAGTCCTCTACTTTCTTGAGATTTCGAGGAGTCGATATCTCAGGAAAGTATCTCGAACTATTTCCTGATCTGATAATAACAATAATCTACTATACTAATAAGAGTCCAAGAGATCAGAGTTAGGCCTATAATGGGTAGAAAAAATGGCGGTCAAATTTTTTAATCAAATGAATGGCTCAGATTGATCAGATTTTAATTTTCCTTTAAGATTTCCTAATTTATCCTTAATGAATATGATTTTCCGTTAACTTTTCCGTTAAATATTATCTTTTCCGTTAATTTCTGTTAGTTCACCGTTAACTTACCCATTCATTTCAATAAAACGGTCTTATGTTCGAACCTCATCCCAATCAAAGTTGGCATAATTAGTACTCTATTTTACTCATATTAAATTAAATAATAATTTAGTATCTACAACAAAAAATAATACATATGCATTTCTTTAATTTAGAATTATGTGTCTACAATGTCTTTATTCAAAAAAAAAAAAAATTATTCAATGGCCCGGCATCATTTGGTTGCGTCCGGAAATTGGCTGGCCTTGCGGGCTAAGTTATGCCAAACTTCGGTATCACTTTCCAACCGATATAGTCACTTGGTTCGGCCAAAACCGAGAGCATCACTCTCGTGCTACAGAGAGCACGAGAGGTTGTGGTGCACCGAGAGCACAACTTTCGTGCAACGGTGACCACGAGAGGTGCACTCCCGGGCTGCACTGAATTTTGAATTTAATTATGTTAATGGGGTTGCTGTTTCAGATGCTACACGACGTGTAATTAATGCCATGATGAATGCTATTAAGTACTCCTCCCCTATATAAGAAGGGTTAGAGGGCAGAACTGTTTTACACACAATGTGAAACGGGAACAACACACACAACACAGAAACTTTTGTTTTTCCAGCTCCAAAACTCTGCTCCTACTCCCTTCTTGTAGCTGTGTTCGTCTCATGCTCTAGTTCGCCGGGTTCGTTCGTTTGGGTGCTCAAACATCGAATCGTTGTACGTTTTATCCTGGGAAACCTAGGCCACAACACTCCTAGCACTTTTGGGAGGTGTCAAATAAAGTTTTAAGGAAAGACAGGCACTTTGCCTAACTCGTACACTTCTTTCTTCTTCTCCTTCTTTCGGTTTTTTGGATTATGCTTTTAAGCAAAAATCCATTCTCCATCTTGTGATATTTTTGTTGGATTGGACCTATAATCTGAGGATTATTTGTTCCAATTTTGGTTGATATATATTGGTATATCTTTTTCGTAGATATACATGTATATATAACCATTGGGTCCGTTTTATATATATTTGTGTGTATATATATATTTTGGATAAATATCCAATAATATTTTATATACTAGTGTGTGTATATATAAATATTATTTTACGATATTAAATCGATTATTGGTTCATTATCACCAACACTCTCTTCTTTGAAGTCTAACCCACAAGCGGACCAAAGAAATCAAATAGCAAAACTATAGCCCCAAAACAGCAGAAGAAACCGCCGCTAAATGCTTCGCGACACTCTATTTAGACACGGTTGAATAACCGCCGCTAAACACACTAGTGGCGGTTTGGAAACGCCGCTAAACGCAAAAAAAACCGCCGCTAAACGCCTGATTTGGTGTAGTGAACTAGCCAATAATCACGGAGAATACATTCAGATTATCGGTAGTTTAATTGTATCAAATGGGTTGTACTAGGCCGGATATTGCCTTAGTGGTTAACAAACTCGGTGACATACGAGTAACCCTAGTGTTATGCACTAGAAGGCAATAGTGAAAGTTATGAGATACTCAAGGTATGCTCGTGACGTTGGACTGCACTACGTGGGATATCCTGTTGCACTTGGAAAGTGTAGCACGGATATCAAAGGACGCTAAGTCCATTAAAGGCTACGTGTTTACGTAGGCCAGTGTAGTTGGTTTTATGGAAATTCTCGAAATGATTTGTGATAGCTAAGATCCGACGGGATCTAAGCTGAGAGCCTTAGACTCGTGTCGCGAACGAGTAGGCCGAATGGCTATGCCATTTTTTCGGGAATGTTCCTAGATATAAACTCGTACCTCCAATTTGTGTGCATTGCGATAGTCAAGCCAAAATTGGTTAAGTACAGAGTTTGATGTGGAATGGGTAAGTCTAGACTTATGAGTCATAGACATAATACCATTAAACAATTTCTCACAACGGGGGTTATCTCTATTGACTACGTGATGTCAAAAGATAACGTAGCGGCCGCTAACTCGCTAACCCGAGGGTAAGCAAATGGTTGTGGAGAAATTGGAACGAGGAATGGGTCCAAAGCCCTTGGACTAAAATTTCTATAGTGGATACCCAACCTAGCTAGCACCTAGGTTCAATGGGACAACTAAATTATGGAACGGAGCATGTCACTGTGGGGGTCTCGGACTTCCTACCACTCCTCGTTAGAAACAGTGAC